CCCCGTCCTCCTGTTCTACCCATAGGCCCGGATCACAACACAGATCTTCTTCAGTCTTCTGTTGGATCACTGAAATATTCATGCGCTCTTTGCAAGCCTCATTTCCGCCGACGTGCCTCTCTCTCCTCTCCTCCCTGTTGCATATTCATTGGCTGGTTACGGCTTCCTTGAGCAAATGCTGCTCCTTCGTTCAAGCCATTCCGAGTAGGCTCCAAATGTTAACATAGCCCCTTCTTGCTTTGTTTTGATACCTTGCTAAGCTCTGTTCCGATTACTCTTTTAGGTTCTCGCCTCATTCCTCCAACAACTCACCCATTTATACATTCGATATTTCAAATATTTGTGTCACAGTACGGTGGAATCAGGCGCTCGTCAATTTTTGGGCATGTAAAGTTAGTGGTATATCATTCTTAAAGCTTGTTAATTTGATTTGCTTATGATGAAAAATAGTACCCATCTATTCTAATAAGAAGCCGAAATATTTGCCATCGAATGAGGTGGGGGTCACCTGGTGTCAACAGTAAAATTAGCGAGAAAATCGCCCCCAAAGTTTGTTGACTTTCAAAGCTTGCGTGTTATGAAAACTGTAAATTTACATTTCATGTGTCTTCCACCAACGTTTTAAAGTATAATCCACACATGTATGCGTTTTTAAATAACAAGAAAAAGTGTTGAAGCCTCCACCCCCCCAAAAAAAAACCTAATAGAAATTGTCGGCCGAGCGTAAATAAATTGATTTCTTCGATTCTGTCAATTTGACGAGCGCGCGATTTCACTACGATGCAACTCATTATTCTCTTATTTAATTCAATTCATTTTTTGTTTTTGACTCCTTCCTTTCAGAAAATCGTTGATGGTATGTATCTGAACTGTTGGTGGGTTAAAAGGTACTTGTTCCTACTCAAACAACGAAAAAATAAATCTATACACGTAAATCTGTATCACAAGAGCACACAAGCGCTGATCTAAATTGAGAAATTAATATTTGTCATGTCATCTCAGTCTTTTTTTAATGCAGGTGTATTTTACCCCCTAATCAACAAATTTTAGCTCATATAAGGGGCGGATTTCCAACCTGCTCACAAGGGCTAACCCAGGTTGAGACGGATACAATATGGTGTAGCGTGGAGGAATCAGGCACTCGTCATAATAATGAAATTTAAAAAAATCGATATCCCCCCCTCCCCCGTTGAGCAATTTTTTTTCTAGTTTTTTTATATTTTGCTCAAAACCTTTTATGTTATTCCAAAAATACATTTCTGCATGGATTTTACTGAGGAAAAGAAACGTTTATTAAAAGTACAACAAATATAAATTTGCAGTTTTCAAGGACACTACAGGTTTGGGAGGCCATTTTCTCGCTATTTTTGCCTTTGAAACCAGAAGTCCCTCACTCACCTCCTTCCGTCTCAGATATCTCTTTTTCTATTCAAGACAGATGAGTATTTTTAAATCAAAAGCAAGTCAAGCGAACACGTTCTAAGATACCAATAATTCCATATGGCCAAATTT